GAAAGGAGGTGCAGTGAAAAGGGCTGAAATTTGCCAAAATTATGCTTACTGAAATCCTGAAATTAGAGATTGAAATGAAGCTAAAATCCTGGAGAAGAAATTAATGATGTGAAACGCTAAAAAAATTCTCAATTTCTGAATTCCTCTGTCCCGCAGAGTCCGGCGACCGCTCCGTGGACTCGGACTCGGAGCTGGAGGACGGCGTGGAGCCACGCCTGACCAAGCAGGGCAGCGAGACCAGCACGGAGGAGGCTCATTTCTGTGACGAGGGGAGCGAGGGGCTGCGCAGCCGCAGCTGCAGCGTGGGCCAGTCGGATGTGGAGGGCTCTGCTCCYCGCTGCTGCAGCCCCGGGGATGAGCAGAGTGATGCAGAGGAAACCCCTGAAAGCTGCAGCCCCTCTGTCCCCAGGGACCCCACAAACCAACCCAGCCCCACTCGGGGTCACRGCAGCCACGAGCTGCAGCCCCGGCTCATCTGAGCTGCTGGACACAAACCCTACAGACAGTGGGATGGGCAAAGGGGCAAATCCCAGAGTGCCCAGATGGATACAGGGAACGGGAATGTGCAGGGGTGGGAGGGATGCACTGGCGGGGTTTGGTGTGTGAGCTGCAGGCGAGTCCTGGCTGGAGCTTTCACACAAAACCCCTGAGCCCCTCAGAACGCTGCTGGGGTCACTCAGCCGGGGCCCTGAAGCATCTCCCCGGGGATAGAACTGCTGCTGGGCACACCCTCCCCTTGCTCAGGGCTGGGAGGGATCCCAGGGCTGTGCTCTGCCTGTGCCAGGCGTTCCATTATCGCTGTGCTCCCCAAATCCCACGCCTGAGCTGCGAGATTCAGCTCAGGTGAGTCAAAGACCTGGTCATCCTTGATGGCTGAGGCTGGAAAGGAGCTGAGAGGTGACAAGAGAGACAGTTCCTCAGGATGGGGAGGAGAATGGCACCGAAGGGACACATGTAGCTGGGGCAGCTCACTGAGACAGGGACAGGGACAATGATGGACCTGGGGTGAAGCCCCTGCACCATCTCACCCTGAGCCAGGCTCAGCTTTGGGGCTGTGCCACCTGCTGAGCTCTCAGGGGTTGTCCCTCACTGTCACCTGGAGGTGACAGGATGGAAAATGAAATCCAGGATGGATTTCCTGCCCCAAAACCACCAGGGCTCCCCCAGCACTCACGGTCCTGGCCCGGCTGGTGGTGTCTGCATTGCTGGGTGGATTGATTTGGGGTCCTGGCATTTCCCTCCTCAGCAGGAGCCATGCAAGGAGCAGCCACAGCTGCTCCTCAGGGCAGATTTGTGTGGCTGCAGGGTCCTGAGCCCTGCTCTGCTCTCAGATTTGTGTGGCTGCAGGGTCCTGAGCCCTGCTCTGCTCTCAGATTTGTGTGGCTGCAGGGTCCTGAGCCCTGCTCTCCTCTCGGGGTTTGCTTGTCCAGTCATTTCATCTCTAAAAAAGCTGCGCTTTTTAGAGTCCAGGACCAACCCTCTGTGCTCTTGGAGCTGGGCAAGGAGAGAGTCCCCATGGGGAAATGCCTCTTCCTCCTCCTCCTCCTCCTCAGGGCCTGGATCCAGCCCCAACCCCAGCCACAATAATCCTGAGCTTCTTCTTCTGTAAAGACTTCAACCAACCCTTCAACATGATTCCACTACCTCTGCTGGCAAAGGGACTAAAGCCAAAGTGGTTTTGTTTTTGTTTTTTTTTTTAAAGCTATGAGACTTTCCTGCACTGAGGCACAGAGAAACAAGTGAGAGTTTTAGCTTGGAATGAACTGAGATAGGGTTCCTTTGTTCTCCTGCTTGTTGGAGACAGACCAGGTGGTGTTTGGGGGTCTCAGGCACCTCGGTACTGCAGAACCAAGCRATGGAAGGGAGCTTTGAGTCCTCTGAGGCTAAAGGAAACCCATCTCAGCAAAGGTACAGAAACCCAGCTTAACTCACAGCTTTGGAACTGAGCCAGGGAAGAGCTGGAGACCCCCCAGGAGCTGTTCTGCMCTGCAGCTCTTCCACAGGATGGTTGGATTTTTCCAGGGCAGCAGGAAGATGTGGGAATGCTGCTGCCACGGCGGTACCGTGTGCGTGTGTGAGGGTGGGTGAGGATGAGGAGGGTGAGTGTGAGTGAGAGAAGGGGCTAAAGCTGTGCTTGAGCTTCCCATGGCAGCAGCTCCTTCCTGGTTGTGTCAATTCTGTGTTTGTCCTGACAGGCCTGAGCTGCTGCACGACGCTGCCCCGCGTCTCGCTGCGTTCACGCTGACAAGCTTCCAAAAAATCCAATAAAACCAGTGTGTTCTGACCCGTGTTTGTCCTGGGGATCAGGGGATTCCAGGCTCCCCCAGCTTGGGGAGGGCAAATCCCAGCGTTTCTGGCAGAAAATTGAAGTTTAAAAGCCCAACAGAGCCCTGGGATGGATTAAAATGAGCACGGCTGGGGGTGATGAGCAAATCTCTGTCRCTGTCCAAACACCCAAATCAGGGTCAGAGGGAAGGAGATCAGAGAAGGAACGAGGGAAATCTGAACTGCAACACCCAAACTGCCCAGGGCAGCTGGTGAAGGCTCTGCAGAGCTCAGCCACGGTGCAGAGTCTCAGCAAGAAGAGATTCCAAACTGAATGAAAAATACGGGATCGTGCAGAAAAATACGGGATCCTTTGCCACAGGGAGAGGCTGAGAAACAGCACAGCACTGAGGGTACAAACCTTTATTTCAAAYAAAAGCCCATWAAATAGGGAAGCAAMGGCCTTTCCCACTCATTTCTTCCCATTGTTTCAGGTCTCTGTGGCTGAGTCCTTGGTGGGACTGAGGGGTTATTGTAAAGTCCAAACTGGAGAACAGGGACTGAGGTGCAGTGACAGCACCTGGAAGAGAATTTCCTTGGCCATCCCTGAAGTGCAGGAATCTCTGAGTGCCTGTGAGCTGCTCCTCACACCTGGAAGAGAAGAAAGGATGGGAATCACCTCTTGCCCCCTAAGCTGAATACCCCAAATCCCAATGGGCACAGCCTGAGCAGAGGCACAGGGGAGCCTCGCCCTGCTCTTCCCCAACACCTCCCTCCAAAGCCATTTAAAACCCTGAAACATTTCCCTGGAAGCTTCACCCTGACCCTAGAACACCCCATCCAGCCCCTGGCACCCCCAGAGTCCCCCCAAGCAGGGATTCCCCCTGGTCTTACCCGCTGGGGTCACTGCACCAGTCTGTAGGTGATGTACCTGCCCGCTGTCTCGCTGGGCCTGATGATTTTCACCACCTGCAAGGCATGCACAGAGCTCAGGAGGAGGAGGAGGAGACACTTTCCTGCTCCAAGAGCTCCCTAACACTCCTCCAAGGATTGTTCCCTCCCAGGAGCTGCTGCTCCTCTCACCTGGCCACGCTTTATCCCAAAATACCGAGCCACGGGGTCCCCAGCCTGGATCCTGGGGAGCTGGTTCTCCCTCAGTTTGCTGTGCTGGGAGTCAAGGAGGAGCTCTGGACACTGCCCAGGCCAGAGGAGAGAAATAAACCACGGCAGGAGAGGGTGATTTTACCCAATTTCACCCAAATTTCATCACACCTGAGCAGGAGGGAGGGACACTCAGAGGGAACCAAAGGGACACTCAAAGGGACACTCAAAGGGAACCAAAGGGACACTCAAATGGACACTCAAATGGAACCAAAGGGACAATCAAAGGGAACCAAAGGGACACTCAAAGGGACAATCAAAGGGAACCAAAGGGACACTCAAAGGGACACTCAAAGGGACACTCAAAGGGACAATCAAAGGGAACCAAAGGGACACTCAAAGGGACACCCAAAGGGACACTCAAAGGGAACCAAAGGGACAATCAAAGGGACACTCAAAGGGAACCAAAGGGACAATCAAAGGGAACCAAAGGGACTCCCAAAGGGACACTCAAAGGGACACTCAAAGGGAACCAAAGGGACACTCAAAGGGACACTCAAAAGATACTATCGGGCCAGCAGCTCTGTCACTTCCTCCTTTGTCATGACCACATGCTCTGGCACCAGCTGTAAACAGAAAAGAGGCTGAGATGAGGCAGTGACTGGAGACATTTTTGAGGGTGAGGGGAAGGACAACTGTGTCCCTCAGCCCAGCTGGAGAGCCAGAAGGAGTCTGGGAGCAGCAGGACAGCAGCCAGCACGAGGGAGGGACCTTGCTCACCTCATGTTCTGTGATGTTGATGAGAAGCTCCTGTTGCAGGAACTGCTCCAGGATGTATTTGGGAGCCATGTCGACCAGGGACTGGAAGGGAAAGAGCTGTCAGAGGCAGCTGGGACAGTCCTGGCAGTGCCCAGAGCTGCTCCTCGAAGACCTGGGGTCATTGAGTGCTCACACGGGCACAGCCAGGCTGGGAATGAGCACACAGATCTCCAGGAACAGGGAAATCTCCCTTTTTCTCTTCCCCACATCCCNGATACTATCGGGCCAGCAGCTCTGTCACTTCCTCCTTTGTCATGACCACATGCTCTGGCACCAGCTGTAAACAGAAAAGAGGCTGAGATGAGGCAGTGACTGGAGACATTTTTGAGGGTGAGGGGAAGGACAACTGTGTCCCTCAGCCCAGCTGGAGAGCCAGAAGGAGTCTGGGAGCAGCAGGACAGCAGCCAGCACGAGGGAGGGACCTTGCTCACCTCATGTTCTGTGATGTTGATGAGAAGCTCCTGTTGCAGGAACTGCTCCAGGATGTATTTGGGAGCCATGTCGACCAGGGACTGGAAGGGAAAGAGCTGTCAGAGGCAGCTGGGACAGTCCTGGCAGTGCCCAGAGCTGCTCCTCGAAGACCTGGGGTCATTGAGTGCTCACACGGGCACAGCCAGGCTGGGAATGAGCACACAGATCTCCAGGAACAGGGAAATCTCCCTTTTTCTCTTCCCCACATCCCCCTGGACCCTCAGCTGTGCTGCTGCCACCAGGTTAAACACCCCCCGATGCTAAAAATGAGCCTGGACTAAGGCACAGCATTTCCCAGCAAAAGCTTTTATCTGGAAGGGAAGYCGGGGCTTTTATTTACCCACAGCAGCACTGAAAACTATAAAGGAAAACCTTCACCGTCCCTCAGAACCCTCTGAGGGGAACACAGCCCTGTCCCCACAGACCTGCTTGGCCGAGGGGGTCATTCCCTGCTGCACCACGATCAGGGCCCGGGTGATGTTCTCCTCCTGCATGCGCTGGCAGTACATCTTGATGGTCTTGATCCCCACCTTGGGCTCCTCTGGGGAAAAAGAACCATCCCCAGGGTCACCGAGAGCCCCCCAGGCTCTGAAACCCAGCCCTCCCGGCCGGTCCGGCGCTGCTCACCGGGGAAGAACACGAACATCTGATCGGTGGGATCATCGTTGTGAGCCACCAGCACGGTCAGGTCGGTGCGSCGGGGGCGGCCCTCGCTGGGTTTGTCCCCGAACTGCGCCTTGAACTCTTCCAGCGTCTGGTCCAGCTCGTCCTGGGTCACCAGGTACCCACGGTCGTGGCAGAGCTGCGGGAGAAGCAGCGGGCTCAGGAACGCGTCCTGACCGGGAACGCGCGGGTGGAGCGGCCCTCACACCCCCACCCCACCCCGCAACATCGCCGGGGCTCCCCCCACTCCCGGCTCGGTCCCTCCCGATCCCAGCGGTGCCCCCAGTGCCCCCGGACCCGCACGATGGTCCCCCCGGTCCCCCCGGACCTGCATGATGGTCTTGCGGATCTTCCACAGCCGGTACGTCTCCTCCTCGTCGTCCATGTTTCCCGCTGAGGCCCCCGCGGGCTGCCCGCGCTGCCGCCTGCCCCGCGCGCACACACAGGCGGCGCCGGGGCGCACGTGGGGGCCTCAACCGCGGCGCTTTCTGGGAGATGTAGTCCGGTTCGATCTGCCCCCGCCGCTGGCTCCGGAGAGATCGCAGGTCCCTCTGCTGCCGCCCGGGTGGGTCTCTGGGTCGCTGCGGCTCGGCTCGGCTCGGCTCGGAACCCGCGGCTGGCTGGGAGGGAATCGCCGCCCCGGGGGCCCGGCCCGCAGCACCTGATTGCACACCCCGCCCTTTGGTCTGTCCCTGCCCCCCGCCCTCGTGGTTTCTCCCGATAAACATCCCCGCGGCCACCCCGCCCATCCCGCCCTTCTATTGGTCAGATTGCCATCAATCATCCCGCGGAGGCCGCCTCTCTGAGTGCTGATTGGCTGATGGGGCCGAAAGGGGCGGGGTTTGTGCGGGATGGGCTGGGTCGGCGCGGTGCAGAGCGCGCTGCGGTGCGGGCGGGCAGCGGGACCGGGACCAGGGCTGAGCGCGGTGCGGAGCATGGTGAGTGCGGGGCCGCTCCGGGAGCGAGACCGGCCCTCTCCGCGACCGCTCCCGGCCTGGGGCAGGTCCCGGGTCACTCCCGCCGGCTGACCGGAGCGGTCGTTGCGGGCTCGGGCCTGGCGGGCGGCGGCGCGGCCGAGGGAAGCTTCCCGCGGTCCCTCAGGGGAGCGGAGGCGGCGGGGCCGGCGCGGGGCTCCTCACTGACTCCCCCGCCCCGCAGTGTGCCCAGGCGGACGACTGGCGCTCGGCCAAAGCCATCTACGACTTTCACGCCTTCGACATCGATGGCAACGACGTCTCCCTGGAGAAGTACCGGTAGGGCCGGGGGGCCGGGGGGGTGGCGGAACGCGGCGCCGGGCGAGGTTGAGCCGCAGCGGSTCTTGCGTAACCCGCCCGCCTCGCCCGGGCGGGTGAGGGGACCTGTGTCCGCGCCCTGCGGGGAACGGCAGCTCATCCRCCCCCTCCGCAGGGGCGACGTTTGTATCATCACCAACGTGGCCTCCAAATGAGGGAAAACCGCGGTAAACTACACTCAGCTTGTCGACTTGCACGCCCGATACGCTGAGAGGGGTTTACGCATCCTGGGCTTTCCCTGCAACCAGTTTGGGAAGCAGGTATGTAGGGCGGGGGTGAGGGCTCCCCGGYAGTGTGAGGGTGGTTCGGGGATCCTCACGGTCACGGTGTGACCCCACAGGAGCCCGGGGACAACGCTCAGATCAAGGAATTTGCTGAGAAGTACGGGGTGAAGTTCGACATGTACAGCAAGATCGATGTAAACGGGGATGATGCTCACCCCCTCTGGAAGTGGATGAAGGAGCAGCCCAAAGGGAGAGGCACCCTGGGCAAGTGAGTGTGGGAGGGGGAGCCCCGGGGACCCCCAGCCAGCATGGAGGGCTTGGCTGGGGGTGAGTAACCCAAAGAAGGGTTTTTTTTCCCCAAAACTCACTGCTGTTTTTTTCTCTCCTAGTGCAATAAAATGGAACTTCACCAAGGTAGGACACGGGTGTTTCCTCTGGGCTGTGCTCTGGGGTGCTGGGGTGTCCCTGAGACAGGAGGGAGCCTCACACTGGRCTCTGCTCTGTGCTGTGACCCCGGGTTATAGGGCAGGAGCATCCTGAGAGGTTCCTGTGCCTGGAGACTCTTGAGAACCCCTGTATTTAGTAACCAGCTGAGGGGGGAGCGGCTCTGTGTTGGTTACAGTAGCTCCCTGGGCACCCTGGACTCACCAGGGGTTGCTTCACTCCCACAGTTCCTCATTAACCGGGAAGGCCAAGTGGCGAAGAGGTACRGCCCGATGGAAGATCCCTATGTGAGTACTGCTGTTAGGGGAGGAGGGGAAAGATGGGGGATATTCTCGAGGTACAACGCTCCCCTCTTGCCCGCAGGTGATCGAGAAGGACCTGCCTGACTACCTGTAGCTCTGCTCCGCTGTCCCCCTGCCCGTCCCGACCCCGCTGCCCGCAGAGCCTCCTCCAGCCCCATGACGGGCTGCCTCCAACCCAGCTCCTGGTGGGGCAGCCCCGATCCCCGGCGTGCACCCGCTGGACGGAGGCTCCGGGGGCCGCGGCCGCTGCAGGCAGGAGCAGCCAGAGCCCCCTCGTAGTAACTGGAGTCCCCTTGCAATAAAATTATTAGGAATGAGCTGCTGTGTCATCGGCGGGGATGGGGCTGGGGCTGTTGTGCTGCTCCTGCTGAGAACCTGGAGTTTGCTGGCAAGCTGAGACCTTACGCAATTCTTAAGCCAAGCAGGGATAATCCTCAGTGCTGAGGAGGAAGTGTAAATCCGGGGTGAGCCGTGCTGTCAAGGGGCTCCCTGGGAAAAGGGAAGGTGTATATCCCCTCTGGAATTCCTCCTGTTCCCCTTGGGATCTTTCCTGTCCCCCTTGGGATCCCTCCTGTCCCCAGGAATCCACAGGGCAGGGCAGCAGAGGGGATGGGTCCAGCAGTGGCACAAATCCCAGCCAGGAGAAATTCTTGCAGAATCCTGCAGATTCGTGTTGGRACACAGCAAAATATCCCCAGCAGCCAGGGATGTGTCTGACCACAGCGAGCAGGAGCCTCCCCCCTCCTCGGGGCAGCGTCTGGGTGGTTGTGAAAGCACAGCCGTGCCCAGCCAGGCCCATTGGGGCTGGTGTCCTGTCYTGGGCAGGGACAGCTCTGGTTCTGCCATGCAGGAACACTGCTGCACCTTTTCCCAAGGCCTGGGAAGTGCTGGGTCTCCACTTCTGCAGCCCCCTTGGGGTGTTTGTCCCCAGGAAGAGTCCCGGGGTCTTTGCTGGTGTCCCCCAAGTCTGACCCCACTGCTGAATCTTCAGCCTGGCACATCAGGAATGCCAGGGGGATCCCACTGTGGTTTGGGGATCACCCCCATCCCACCTCCCACGGGATAACAGGGCCAGCAGTGCCTGGATGAGACATCCCAGAGCTGTGGCAGATCCTGCTGGGGGCACACAGAGGAACAGAGGGGGCTGGAACAGAGGCTCCTTTATCTGTGTTTTCCCAGTAAATCCAGGGGGGATTGCCTCATCCAAGGCCAGTGCCCAGGCTGGACCTCCTCCACACGAGCAGTGGCTTCTCTCAGGGAGAGAGGGAGGTTGGGACAACAGCCCTAAATGCCACCAAGTTGCTGACACAAGAGATGCAAAGTCCAGCTGCCAGCGAGACAATGGCCCACGGATTCCTGATCCTGGTGCAGGCTGGACAGACATACAAACAGAGATAAATCTGKTACTTAATAGAAATCTCACATGTGGCTTCTGTTCCATTTTTACTGAGCAGAATGAAAAATTATCCTTCTGAGGCAAGTAGAAAATTCAGGAATTATTAGTCCAAGGCACATATTCTAAAAAAATCTCTTTACATATGTACAACTTAATTATAAATATACATAGAAACAAAAGGCAAACGACAAGCGGATTAAAAAGTGCCAACACAAAGGTGTCAGGGAAGGAAACGGGGACTCATTAAAAATACAATCAGTAGGACAACTGCAGAATAATTTAGTTAAAAGATAATATTACATATTATTTACCCTGACAAAACACGGGATCGGGGCAGGGAAGGGATTCCTTGAAGGTGCTCTCTGTTTTGCCAGAGAGCAAGGAGGGAGGATTGCATATATTTTAAAGTTAAGGTCAAAGCCACCAGGTAAGGCTCYGGTGACAGCAGAGGGTGCCCAGCAGGGAATTCCCCCTCGCTATTCCTGAGTTTAAACCTCTTTGAGCTGGGTTTTCCCGGCGTCCTTTTCCCTCATTGCTGAGAATTCAGCCCCAAGCGAGCAGTGCTTTAAATAGGGGAGGGTCTGGAGAGGGGGAGCCTGGCTCTGCCTGGGCCCGGGGGAGGCTGCTGGGTCAGAGAGGAGCAAAGCTGGAGGGAAGCAGGAGCTCCTGGGGCAGCAGCAGGGCTTTGGGGGGCACAGGGGGCTCCCCCATCTTTGGTGATCACTTTGAGGTAAGGTTTCCTTGGGTGCAGCGAAATGTGCCCCAGAGCGCAGGGATTGATCCCGGCCCGGTGCTGGGAGGCAGGTGCCAGCTGGGGAGGGGGAGAAGGACAAGCCCCCAAAACAAAATTCAGGGAGCAGAGTAGCCTCAAATTGAGCACTGGGGCAGGTGTGTGACCTCGGGGTGTTGGGAGAAGTGGCTCTGGACACGGATCCAGAGCGATTCCCAACACCCAACAGGGCACTGGGCCAGTCCCCAAGCCCTGGGGGGACATGGGGTCACCGTGGAGGGGACACCACCAGCCCCCTCAAGTCCTTTTAGGGCACGGGACCCCCTTCCCCAGGGCCAGGTCAGCCAGGGATGGTTCCAGGCCCTTCCCCAAAACCATCCCCGTGCCACTTTTMGGAACGCCTGGGTGCCCTCTGTGCAGGGGAGGAGGCAGCAGCGGGTGGGGCAGTGCTTTGCAAAGCAGCTTTTGTTCTTTGGTATCCGAGGGGGAGGGTGCAGCAGGAGAAGCCAAACGGCACATCCCGGGGTGGTGACAGTGACACTGCACACCCTAAACAGTGACACTGCACACCCTAAACAGTGACACTGCACACCGTGAGCAGTGACAATGACACTGCACATCCCGGGGTGGTGACAGTGACACTGCACACCCTAAACAGTGACACTGCACACCCTAAACAGTGACACTGCACACCGTGAGCAGTGACAATGACACTGCACATCCCGGGGTGGTGACAGTGACACTGCACACCCTAAACAGTGACACTGCACACCCTAAACAGTGACACTSCWCATCCCRGGGYGGTGACAGTGACACTGCACATCCTAAACAGTGACACTGCACACYCTRARCMGTGACAATGACACTGCACATCCCGGSGWGGTGACARTGACACTGCACACTCTGGGCAGTGATAGTGACACTGCACACCCTAAACAGTGACACTGCACACCCCGGGGCGGTGACAATGACACTACATACCCTGAGCAGTGACAATGACACCGCATGCCCTGACCCAGACCCCTGGACCGGGGTCCATGGCCCAGCCAAGGACAGTGGCAGGACCAGTGGGATGTCCAGGTGAAGGGACAACATGTGACAGCAGGAAACTGGCCAAAGCACRTCTGGTCATGGTGACCTGGTGAGGTTAAAGTGCAGGACAGGGGACACGTGGCCCTTCTGCTCTGGGGAATCCTGCTGGTCCTGGCATGGCTGAGCTCTGACAGATTGGAGCTCTGTYACCGTGGGGGTGCAGCCAGCTCTGGCCACTCCCACGGAGCTCAGGTGGCCCAAGGTCCCTTCCCGGGAAGGGCAGCACAGGCAGTTCTGGCTCTCTCACCTTTTCAGCCCTGCCAGAGGACACCTGAGCTCAGCATATCCCAGCTCCTCTGGGATTTCATTCCCTTCCCTTCATCCCAGCACAGCCTCAGGGTCCCCAGCAGTGCTGGGGCAGCCCAAGCTGGGCTCCCACCCTTCCATAACTGACCAGCACATGGTCAGAGGGTCATTCTGGAGCCTGGCCATGGCCCTACTGGGCTGGAGAGCTGGGGAAGGCTYGGACACTCAGTAGTCTGCAGGGGGTGGGCAGAGGAGGGGTCTCCCCTCAATCCCACTGACCTGTGAGCAGGACTCGACCCAGCAGAGCCCCTCAGCCCAGGGGRACCCACTCAGCTCCCCCCGGGGCACTTTCCATACAAACCTGTATACATGCCTGACTGAATATTAGATATAAATAAATTTCCCTGTAAGGAACTACAGGCTTTTTCTTCCCTCAAAACCAGAGCAGGGTCAGTCCGAAGCAGTAGCAAAATCAGGACTCCTCAGCTCTCACCTCTGCCCCAGAGGACACGGATCCACAGCAGCATTCCCAGCTGGCACTCAGAAATCCAGGTAAGGCCCACTGAATTGGATCACGCTCTGGCGCTCCGGGGGGAGCAGGTTTTCTGGAGAGGGCCTGCTGAACATGTCCTCCAGGATGGCTTTAATATCAATATTCCCGTCTTGCTGGAAAAAATCCTCCTGTGGCTGCTGCGGGAGGGCCAGGGCCTGCAGGGCAGGGGGCTCGTGCAGCAAAGGGCCAGGGGCTGCACCACCCTCCAGGCTGGGAGCGTGGCCAAAGCCAAAGGACAATCTGTGCTGCTGCTGCTGSKGCTGCTGGGGCTGCAGGGAGGGCTCCGAGGAGAAGCAGAGCGCTCTGGACTCCGTGTTCAACCCCATGTCGGGAATGCTGTTGCTGGGAGGGCTGCAGGTCAGGTCCAGGATCTCATCGGGGCACAGGGAGGGCAGGGGCAGCCCGGGYGCTGGCAGGAGGGGCAGGGGGAAGGGTGAGCTCTGCTCCTGGGCYTGGAGCAGCCGGCTGTGCTTCCGCTTCACGTCCTCGTCCATCTGCTTCAGCTCCTCCCGCACCCTGCGGACGCAGCTCTCGGGGATCTTTATCCCTGGGGAAGGAATGGACATCAGTGCCCATTTTGGGAAGGGAGGGGACACTGTGGGGACAGAGCAGCAGCACTGGGTGTGTTCATGTGGGCACAGCTCACCCTCTGTACCCCACACATCCATCTCCCCTCCTCCCCAGGGTCACCTCAGGCTGCTCCCAGGCTGGAGCACGGCCCTTTTAGAAAAGGGAATCTTGCTGCTGGACAGCTGAACCCTTTCCCTGTGTTGCCCTTCCCCTTCCCAGCACTTCACCCACCGACTTGCTTCTTCTTCTCCTTGGTTTTGAGGCGGACGATCTGCAGGTAGCTGCTGCTGGTGATGTCGGCCATGACGCCGGCGATCCTGCTCCACACGCGCAGCAGGGCCCCGCACAGCATGTAATAGTGCCTCAGGCGCATGCCCTGGTAGCATTCCTTCCCCTCCTGGATCAGCTTGCAGCTCTTGTTCCTTCGGTGGCCATGGGAAAAAAATGTGGGAATCAGCAGAGGTTCCTGGAGCTGAGCAGGATTCCCTCAAAACCTCCCCCACTGTCACAATCAGTGACCCACAGGGTACAGGGTCCTGCCCAGGGAGGGAGGATGTGGCTTCAGAGCTTCAAGGTGAAAGAGGGGAGATTTAAATTGGATATTGGAAAGAAATTCATCCCTGTGAAGGTGGTGAGGACCTGGCCCAGAGAAGCTGTGGCTGCCCCATCCCTGGAGGYACTCAAGACCAGGTTGGATGGAGCAACTTGGGCTAGTGGAAGGTGTCCCTGCCTGTCCCTGCCATGGATGAGCTTTATTAAAGTTACCCTTTCAACCCAAACCACCCTGGGATTCCATGGCAGGCAGGGACTGAGGCTGCCTTACCACACGGCGTGRTTACAGTTCTTCAAGGAGAAGTGGTAGCTGCTCTCCCAGTGCTCCTTGGCTTGCTCAGGCAGCACCTGCAGCAGAACACTCAGAATTAGGAATCTTCCACTGTCCAGGACGCAGAGATGTGAAATCCAGGGCTGGGAGTCAGGACACCATCCCTGCCCATCCACAACAGAGCCATGAGGAGCCACAGGGTTACAGTGAATGTCCTCCCAACCTCCCCCAGACCCACAGGGAGGCTGCAGCTCCCACCTACCCGTCGATATTTCTTCTGCAGACTGTCCAGGCTCTCAGGCTGGCTTTGCTTCCCAATATTTGGCTTGTAGAGGATGAAGTTCTTCCCGTGGCTCTGCTCTGCCAGCAGGCAGGTGTATTTGCTGCCTCGCACCTATGGGATACAGCTGATGGTCACAGGCACAGCCTCTCTGCCCAAGCCCAGATTTCTCTAAATGAACTCCTTCCTTCCAAGCTGGAGGTTCTTGGAGGCATTTCCCAGCCCTCAGGAAAAGGGAATTCATGCAGGCACAGCAGATCTCCCCCTGGAASCAGCCCTGAGCTGAGGTGCCACCCTGGCAGAGCCTGGGGACGTACCTTGTTGGAGAGGTAGAACCCATCAAAATTTCCTGTCAGTTTGAGCGACTTCTCATAAGCTTCCTCCCACTTCAAGCCTCTGTCAACGCTGATCTGAACAGGGACACACAGAGGGATTTGTAACTCTGGGGGAAGCACAGGTGATTTGGTGTCAGCCTCACAAATCCCCCCTCAGCACAGCTCTGCCAGAACCAGGCAGGCAGGTGCCCACCTTGTAGAACACGACCTGCCCGTCCTGCGGGTGCCCTGGTGTCAGGAAGATCTCCTTGCTCTCCTCGTAGATCTCATCCACTCCTGGGGCTAAATCTGTGCGAGGAGAAAAAGCTGTTGTAAGGAACATCGTCCCAAAAACACCTCCTTGGGTCTCAGGATCTGAGCTGGGTGGGGACACTGCACTAGGAGCAGCAGGAACCCCAGGGGTGCAGGAGGCAGAGCTGTGGCCACCTCTCCTTCTCCATACCAAGGATGCCCATGTCGTATTTGCCCTCCTTCTTGTCCTTCTCTATCAGGTAGTCAAAGGTGTCAGAAAAATACTGGAAGAGCATGTTCTGCTTGTCCACCTCCARGCCCAGGATGCGGTTCAGGAATTTGGTGATGGAGCAGTCTGCAGGAGCACAGTGGGTCAGCCGGTGCAGCTGGACATGGAACCCACCAACCCCCTCCCAAAGAGCCCCCCAAGCAGCCCCAACACATCCCTTCTGACAGCAGCCCAGCCCAAGGGCTGCTCCTGTGGGCTGGGAGCATCTGGGGGGCCAGGGGATCTGTAGGGCCATGGGATGTGCAGGGCCATGGGATCTGTAGGGCGATGAGATCTGCAGGGCCATGGGATTTGTAGGGCCATGGGATCTGCAGGGCCACGGGATTTGTAGGGCCATGGGATCTGCATGACCAGGGATCTGCAAGGCCAAGGGATCTGCAAGGCCAAGGGATATGTAGGGCCAAGGGATCTGTAGGGCCACGGGATCTGTAGGACCATGGGATCTGCAGGGCCATGGGATTTGCTGTACCAGGGGATCTGCAGGACCATGGGATCTGCAGGACCATGGGCTCTGCAGCACAGGCTGATCCCACAGGACCTTCCCCTCAAGACAAACATCCTTCCCAGCTGCCCAGCAAACCCCACGAGGTCAGATGGGCCATGACACCCCTGTGTCTGCCCCCTGCCCYCTGCCCACGTACCCTTCTCCATGGAGACAGTGCCATACTTCATCTGGTTGTAGCAGATCCCCACGGAGATGAGCCCTTGCTTCATTTCTGCAATGGTTGAAGACATCTTTAGCATTTTGGGGTTAAAATTCCCATCAGGATGTTTGCAGGACTGCTTCCCCTGCAGCTCAGACCCTCCCCATGCCTGGCAGGGTGAAATCCTAAGCCAATGTTATTTTCCCATCTCTGTTTCCTCCCTCTGACCTCCTGCTTGKTTTTTCCAGCATCCCAAACCCAAGACCAGCCCATCCTGGAGCTGGTGATGTTCTCACCGTGGAAAAAGGCGTCGTGCCCTCCCTGGTAGCTCCTGGGCACAGGAACCCTGCTCTCCATGTGGCTGATGATGGTGGACAGGACGTGGAGCAGGGCTTTGGTCCCGTACTGGGGAGGAGAGCAGAGTCACACACGGGAGGAACCGACAC